AAGCTGTAGCCTTCTGTGATTTCACCACCTATAGTAACAACTTCAACAGGCTGGTGTTGATATTTTCAACTAGATCATAGACTGTCTTACAGTGGCAGGCAGTTAGCAGAACCTCTGGCCTCTGCTCCCTTGGTACCATGAATAGACTCCTCATTTGCTACAACCAAAAATGTGTCACCAGACACAAAGCCATTAGGGAAAAGCATTCTCACTGACCACCAAAGTCTAGACAGAAACAGTGATGCCATTTTTGCCAGTCCCCCCCCACCCCCCAATCCCTGTCCCCGTCTTGGCCGGCAACAATTTAGAGTAGACTTGCAGCATGTTATTTTGTATTTTTATTTCCCCTGAACAGTTTCTCAACCACATCTGCTCTATGATGTCAGCTTCGTGGCTCTATTTTGCTCCATTGCAGAGCTCTGCCACAGTTATTTAACATCCAATTGATGGGTGTTATTCCATCAATTCCAAGGACAGTGTAGTAGTCAGAGCTCTCTAGATGAATATATATTGTATATGACCCAAGTCATATATAATATATATGTGTATATATGTACATATGTAATATATATGACTTGAGTTTAGTCCCCAGAGTCCACATGGTGGAATAGAACTGTCTCCTATCTCCCACAAGTTGTCCTCTGACTTCCACATGCTCACTGTGGCATATGTGCACACATACACATAAACATACATGTATATATATATACATACATACACACATATACATATATATGTATGGGGATTTATTAGAGTGGTTTACAGGCTGTGGTCTGACTAGCCTAACAATGACTATTTCAAGAGTCTGGTAGTTGTTCAGTCCATAAGGCTGGATGTCTCAGCTGATCTTCCATCTACTGTTGGGAGCAGGCAAAAAGCACCTTGGACTTCAGACTCCATTTTACCTGTAGGGTGAAACAAAGGTCAGGTTCCCACAAAGCCCTGGGGGAGCTGGGAACCTTCAGATAGCGGATCCACCTTTTCCTTAAACCATAGAAATAGTGGATAGGCATCTTTAATTCTCTAGAAACGTCATGGCTGGTCCTAACATCAGAAGGAACAAATGAATCTGATTGGTTGGACTGAAAAGCTTGCATTGTGTGTCAATTGATAGTGATGGAACATTTAAGGAAGCCCCTACTCTCTAAAGCCTGATGGGTGAAAACTGCAACTGTAACTTGGCAACAAATGTTGGTAATTTTGTGCTTAAATGCTTGCTTCAACTGACATTGGGGTTGCAGTTCAGCTCTGGAGTCTGTTCTAAGGTCCTGATCGAACGGCCTCTCCCCTACCCCCCTTCTTTTGTGCTGTTCTGCATTAAATCTAGTCTTGCTGTAACCTCTTGTGCAGCTAGAGTTTTCCTGCCTTGCCCACAGTCAGGACAAATCTTTGTCACCCGCCAGTCCCACAGCTGCTCAGACCCAACCAAGTGAACATAGAGACCTATTTTGTTTACAAACTGTATGGCCGTGGCAGGCTTTTTGTTAACTGTTCTTATAGCTTAAATTATTTCATTTTTACAAATCTATACCCTGCCATGTGGCTCGTGGCTTACTGGCATCTTTACATGCTGCTTGTCCTGGCGGGCGCCTGGCAGTGACTCCTTCTGCCTTCCTGTTCTTTCTTTTCTCCTCTCTGTTAGTCCCACCTATACTTCCTGCCTAGCCATGGCCAATCAGGTTTTATTTATTGACCAATCAGAGCAACACATTTGCCATATAGACCATCCCCCAGCATAGCCAAGTGCAGACCATCTCAGATACCTGCACTCAGGCCCGTGGTCCTAATCATCCTCTATGTGGACCTGCTGGGTAAAGCCATGAGGAACCCAAGAACGGGCTCCCACAGGACATACAGAACATCCCACAGCACTCTTGTGTCTGCTTGGGTTGATTTGGAGCCTCGAACCACACCACCACACTGGAATCCTAAAAAAGAATGTTCCAACACCAGTCTTTTGACTGCCTTAGCAGCAGAAGAGTGAGAGCAAGCAAGCCAAAAATCAAAAGCGTCCTTGTTCTTTTATTATTATTTTTTAATTTATTTATTTTATGTGCATTGGTGTTTTGCCACAAGTGTCAGGTTCCCTGGAACTGGAATTACAGATGGTTGTGAGCTGCCATGTGGGTGCTGGGAATTCAACCCGGGTCCTCTGGAAGAGCAGTTGGTGCTCTTAACCACTGAGCCATCTCTCCAGCCCGCGTCCTTGTTCTTTTATGTAGGCTGCTACCAGAAAGTATGACCACATTTACTATAGGTCTTCTGACCTTCAGTGCTCCAGATTCAGGGCAGATCTTCGCACTTCAAATGATCCCATCAAGAAAAGTCTTCACAAGTGCGCTCTGGCACTTGCGTTTTAGTTGATTGCAGAGGTAGTCAAAGTGACCACCAAGACTAGACATCACAGTCAGTCATAGCATTAAAACGCAGACACATCTCTTTAGATTTATTTTTATTTGTTGCTTACAGGTATTGTGCCCTCCTGTATGTTTGTATACCATGTGCATAGATGGTACCCACAGAGGCCAGAAGAGGGTGTCTGATCCCCCTGGAACTGGAGTTACAGACAGTTTTGAGCCACCATGTGAGTGCTAGGAATCAAATCCAAGTCCTCTGAAAGAGCCTCCAATGCTCTTAATTTCTGATCCATTTCTCTCTAGACTCATAAGAAGAATTTCTAATTGTCTTCCATGGTGGAAGGGAGGTCAGCACAGCTCATAAGGATAAACAAGCAAATCCTTGTACTGTTTCCTTCTGTCTACAAAGATCACTGGAAGCCGGAAGCAGGAAAGACTCCTGAGTCAAAACCTGCTGCTCCTTCTGCACTTGCAAGAGCCTGAGTAGAGCCTGCTGGGGAGTCTCTGGCTAGGAGTCAAGGCTAGAAAGTCAGAAGAACATCAAAAATTATAGGAGACGAGTAACAGCCTAAAGACGGACAGCCAAAATGGAAGCCGAGGATGCGAGTTGGGAAGGGTTTAGACTGAGTGGATAATGAGAGCAAATCAAGGTGGCTCTCTGGCAGGATGGCAACATCTCCATTGCTTCAAGGCTCATTATAAGCTCACCACACTTGTTGCTTGTGGCCTGGGTACCTGGGGGAGAGAAGGGCTCTTACGCATTGAACACATTTTAGAAAATAGACGGCTGAAGAGAGAGAGGGAAGGACAAGGAATAGAAATGGAGAAATGAACAGAAATCGCAGGCAGAACAAGAGTCACCAGAGATCCTGAGTTTGAGGTCACACGGAATCTTGCAAGAGAGGCCAAAGCGACTTCATTGGGACAAGGAATCTGAGGAATATGTAGTCAGCAGACAAGCAAAGTAGACTTTTTCAGGCTTGCTCTTACAAACAACACTGCACGGATCACCGTTGGAGCAAGTTATTAGCACACATCCTTCACTTTTCTAAGACAGACGATTAAAACGGGAACTGCGGAGTAGAAGAAAGCCGTGCTCTGAAGGCTTCTGATACGCAGTGTCCAAATGCTGGCAAGAACTCTTTAAAAATTTTGTTGCACAGTCAACAGAGATAGATAACACGTCTCTGCTCCACCAGTTCACCAGCATGGCATGTGTTCTTCCCATTCCTATGGGAAATAAGGCTCGCCAAGGTTCACAGGGCAGTAGAGAAGACTCCAAGCCCATGTTTTTCTGGCTGTGAAGCTCATACTCTTTTTACTGTTGATGGCACTTCCTTTATGAGAACTAGGGCATGTAACCAGCATGAGATGTAGGCAGCCTCCCTGCCCAGATGTTAAAGCCAAAACTTGGCAGCTTGGAAAGGTCTTGGTAATCTGCTTATTGCTTCTATCCCCATACTCCCCTATCTGGAGTTTATAGTTCCTTTCATCACGTGGTCTTTGTTTTTCTTCATTTGAAAAAAAAATGAAGAGTTGTCTGCTCTCTGTTGCTCCAGGGTCTTTGGACTGTCTATTCCTTTTCTCCTCTGTCATCTTTGTCCGGTAACTTCCGCTCTCTCTTCTTTCAGACTGAACTTAAATGGCACTCTCTTATGACTCAAGTTCTGTTGTATGTGATGCCATTGTTTCAATTGTAGTCTGGTTCAGAAATGGTCTAAAAGCTCATTTGTCCAAGTCTTTTGTTCAAGCCTTAATCCAAATGCATTGACATTCTGTAGAAATGATTGTACCATGAGGATTCCGACGTTATCCACAGAGGGACACAGTATAATTTGCAATTGGGAGGTGGTGGAAACTTTGGGAGGTGGGGCCTCATTGGAGATAATGGGTCATAGGGAAAGCCAATGAGAAGTGGATTTTGCTTCCTGCTTTCTGCTGCCATGAGGTGAGTGGCCTGCTGTCCCATGGTGGGCCCACCATGCTGCTATGCCTTCCCACAGGAGTAGACCAAAACTTCTGAGAGTGCGAACTGATTTTCTCAGGCCTTCTGTCAGAGTGACAGAAAGCTCACCCAACTCCGTGTGCTTCCATTCACCACACGGGACTTAGAGACTGTGTTGCCAGATGTGTCTCCTCATCTGTCTGCCCCGTGATCTGTAAGGAACACAGGACATCGCTCCTAATGAATTTGTAAACCCAGGACCAGCTCCCGCTGTGTAGGCTGTCCTCTTGAGAACAGGCAGGCACACTCCAGATTAGAGGAACCTCAGCCGCTTCTGAAGGTTTTATCAACTGCTGGTTTCACGCCTGCATTGTTTCCTATTTAAAATCTGCAGCCACTGGGTTATAGAATCTGTACTAAAAACAACTTTATTTATACCAGGAAGAGAGTCTCCCAGCAGCAAACTGCCTGGTAATGGCCTTGACCTGGGCTTTATGTTGCAACAGTCTTCTTCATGTACTTCTTAATGACCCCCAGTCTTGCCCACATGACTGGGAGGTGCCAGAGGGCAGGAATTCGCTGTGCTCCTCACCACATCACCTCATGCCAGGTGGTCTTTGAGTGTCTGAGGAGCCAAAATGAGCGAAACAACCGCCTTGGCAACTGACAATGTTCCAAGACTCAACAACTTGCTTCCTGCCCAGCCAAAGGCTTGCCGCTCAGAGGCAAATGTCACCGTGGTAGAGTTGTCTTAATGAGAAAGCATGCTTGCTTCTCTTCTGGGGGAGTTTCCTAGAGCGATGCTCTTAGAAACTCCTTGGCAGGGATCCTGAGCCAGGCTTGGCATTGACAGCCTCCTCCTGCTGGCATTAACAAGCCTCTTATTTAAATGTAAATGAGCTCTCAGTGCCAGTTTGTGAGTGAAACACATCGCTTGTGTTAAACCAGAGCCGGAACGCTACAGCACACCAAATGTCGGCTTGGTTTCGACTTCCCCGCCATACTCAGTGTAGTGCTTTGCCTTGGCTTCTCCATCTGCAGAGTTGGGTGTCCTCAGACAACAGAGAGGATCTGCAGAGTCCTGTGGCCCCCCTCATAGCTGCTAATCTGCCATGGTAAGCTCTAAGGTAAGGTACTCACATATGCCCCCAATGGGGACCTTATGACAATAGCACCACATCAAGTCCTGTCAACCAAGAGGCCTGCAGTGTCCATGAAGCCCAGCTGAGGCTGGCAACCCTGGCTCCTGGCTTGCTGGTGGTGTCAGAATGTTTCCAGGGTTCTAGCTGTGTCGTACATGCTCTGATCCTCATGTACACTCCTTTTTGCCCGGATTGCTTCTCTTTATATAAAAATACACATTATGCCAATATTGCCTAATATTTGGTCCTACTTAGCCATCTGCTGCTCTGTTCCTACTTTCCCAGCCCCTACTGCCCATATCTGTACGCTATTTTGATGTTTCTCTTCATTTTTGGGTCTTTCTGAAAATGAGTTGTGCTTCTCCAACAGGAGGAGCTTATTAATTCCTCTCCTGGACATCTCAATATCCAATATATGTATAGCTCATAATATGCTATATTGCTTCTGTTGCTGTGTATATCCTACATAGCTAGACAATGTGTGCATCTTGAGGCAAAGCCTAGGTCTCGGCTGGTAGCCTTAGATTTTAGTCAAAATCTGAATGAATAAATACATGAAAGAGTGAAGGAAAGAAACTCCATTTACTCAACACATTCTTACTATAAGATCTAAGTAGGGCTGCATTCCATTTCACCATCCTTCAGTCTGGCGTATGGTTTATAGCTAAGTGTATTAGTCAGAGTTCTCCAGAAAAACAAAACCAATAGGATATATATATATATATATATATATGGGAATCGGCTCACACGATGATGGAGGCTGAAAGTCCTACCATCTGCTGTCTGTAAGCTGGGGAATCAGAAAAGGCAGTAGCGTCATTTAGTCTCAATCCAAAGGCCTAAGACTCAGAAGCTCTTACAGCCAAGGGCAGAAGATGCAGCTCAAGCAGAAAGAAATGCAATTTGCCTTTCTTTTGCCTTTTTGTTCTAGGCAGGACCTCAGCAAATCAAATGATCTCAAGGTCATTGGGGAGGACAGTTCTGTCTACTGTGAAAGATTATGCTTATCCAAAAGTCCACTCTGCTTTTCTATAACAGAACACATGGACATTTAGAAGGAACAGATATGTATTTCTGATTGTTATAATGTGTGGGATGTCTAAGATCAAGGTGTTGGCTTCTGCTGAATGGTGCTGTTTGTCTTCATATGGTGCCTCATATCCCACACTGCAGAAGCCAGAAGGACAAGAATGGCTCAACTCTTAATGGAGTCCTCTGAGAGGTGTTCCAAATCCCATTATTGAGAGCTGAGCCCTCATGACTTTAACATTGCTTAAGAACGCTACTTCTTAGCTGGGCGGTGGTGGCGCACGCCTTTAATCCCAGCACTTGGGAGGCAGAGGCAGGTGGAACTCCATGAGTTCGAGGCCAGCCTGGTCTACAGAGTGAGTTCCAGGACAGCCAAACTGCTTCACAGAGAAACTCTGTCTCAAACAACAACAACAAAAGAAAAAAAAAAAAAGAATGCAACTCTTAATATTATAACAACTAAACTTTTAAAGGGGCACATCTGTAATAATAATTAATATTATCAACTGTCATTTCTAGGGTGCCCTAGAAGACAAGCATCTCTGGACATGTCTGTAAAGTAGCTTCTAGACTGGGTTAGTTGGGGTGAGAAAGTCCACCCTAAGTGTGGGCAGTAGACTGAATAAAAAGAAGAAAGCCAGGGGCTGTCCATAATGCTTTGGCTGGCTCTTGGGAATATATTCCTCATACTGGGTTGCCTTGCCCAGCCTTAATACAAGGGGATGAGCTTACCCCTACCTCAATTTGATATGTCATGCTTTGTCATACCCGTGGGAGGCCTGCCCTTATCTGAACAGAAACAAAGGAGGAATGGATTGGAGGAGGGAGGTGGAGAGGAAGTGGGGGAGGGATAGGAAGAGAGGAAGGAGGGAGGAAAGGAAAAATAAAAAATAAATAAACAAGGAGAAAGTAAGCTGTGCATTGGCATTCATCTCTCTGCTTCCAGACTATCGATGCGCTATGACCAGCCCCTTCAAGGCGCCTGTAGCCATACATTCCCTGTCAGGATGGACCCTCAAATTGTAAGCCAAAATAAGTCCTTTCTTCCCTAAGTTGCCTTTGTCAGGTATTTTTATCATGGTACATATGATAGAGCCACAGCATATGATTACAAGCCTGCCCCAAACTACTGCCTTGACAGCTGTCTGGACATCACTGATCCAAAGCAACTTGATAGTAAAATGAACCATCATTGCAGGGGTCATTTTGACAAACCTCACAGCACATCACAGGGACAATTGAGTCTATAGGATGTGCTCCAAGCATTAGAGATGTGTAGTAGAGACCTTGCATGAAAAGCAGAACGGGCACTTGGAAACGGAATGCGAATGATATGAAGGAGCCCCTGGGACACTTGGGATCCAGCAAAATGCCTTTGCTATAATGCAGAACACCTGTCAACTCTACTATCTGAAAGTCTCAGTTTCTGGGCCACCTCTGTTCAGTGACTGACGGAAGGGTATTTATGAGAGTTGACCCCAGGCTAACACGTGTAGACCTCACTCCCCATTCCCCCATCCCAGTCTCTATCAGGCAGGCAGTACCCCTTTGTAGATTCTGGTTGACGGTTTGCACCAGTGAAGAGAATTCCAGGTAGCAGTGGTGACTCAGTTCACACTGGTTTGGTGTGTCCTGTGTGTTAGCTTTGAATAGGCCTTTGAGGGGCAGAGCTTCGAACAGAGGATTTAAGTCAAAGAGGACAGAGGGCAAGACAAAGTTGTCTTTGTCATTTCATCCACAGAACTAATTCTTAAAGAGAAACGTCTGCTCTAATAAAAGCCTTGAGAAGAAGCAGTCAGTGGAACCATGGTATTTCGGGAGGTGTGCACATCTATCTGTACTTGTCCATGCATACGTACCCTCTTCCTTCTTCACACCTCTTCAACGTCTCACTAACCCATGATGGACACTTGGTTCACAGAAACCGAGGGGACACAGGCTTGCCTAAGAGTCTCTTTTTCCTGTGATGTGCATTTTTCTCTCTCTTGGTGGGATATTGTAACAAGATGCTGTCTGGGAGGCTGACAAACCTGTGCAGTCATGAGATTTACAGCCGCGAGGGGTCAGAGGCTAAGTGGAAAGTGTAGATGTAAAGGATCCACTTCCCTGAAATACTGCCTTCCTCGGGGAAAGGGACACAGGAAGTGATCTATGGCTCTCTGGCCCTCTTTATTTAAGGAGTTTCCCTTAACTTTCCAAGAGCATAACCTCTATGGCGACTTCTGAGACATTTGCTGCACTGTGCTGGTGGCTATTTTTCTGGGGCGGACCTGGAAGTGCTTCTGTAAATGAGAGCATAAGGAGGCTAGAGGACTCACCTCAGAGAGGCTGGAGTTCAGCTAGGATTTGGTCGGCCTCATTAGCCATTGACCTGAGCGTCTGAATCACGGAAACGGATTCTACTTCGGTAGCATCCATGCGTTTCATCTTTGGAAAATGCAGTACCACCTGATGCCTCTCCCAAGCCGTTGGGGCGGCCTGTGCTTCTTGTTCATTTCTTGTCAGAGAGGAAGCTGCCTTGACCCGAGAACCTAAAATCCTGCCTCACAGTTAGTTCATTCATTCACAGTTGCCCAGGATGCATAATTTCTCAGTGTGTATCGTTCCCCTGTTACCCGATAGAAGAACACTGATGTAAAGCTAGGCTGAGCTGATGGTCAGGCGAGACACATCTAAAGTAGACTGGAAGTCTTGTGGGTAGATCATCAGGTACCTATGTGCTATGGTGGCCAAGAAGTTTTTCTATGACCAGGGAGTGCGAGTCCCCAATACAGATCCGTAGACAATATTGAAAGGAAAAGGGATGTTCATTCTCGGACTATTGCCTCTGACCAGCCTGCTGCTTCAGTGCTTTAAGGGAGCAGCAGTTTTAAGTCCAGGAGCACCAGGCCACACTAACTTGGGGCCTACTGAACATCAGACTATCTCAACCGAGGGTAAGGCAGCACAACACATCTCTGATGCCTTGAGAGCAAGCCCATGAATGGTGTCTGTGCTCTGGATGGCTCACATTCACTAGACCATGAGACGGCAGCCTGAGGATTTTGCCTCAGTCTGTTGCCAGGGTCAATACAACTGTAAGGCACAACCTGAAATATTTCACATGGGGCCTGAGACACTACTGTCTATCAGAGCCGATGTGAATCATCCCCGTAGGCTCCTCAGATATAGTGGACTCTGGATGTAAAAAATGAGAACTGGGCAAGGAACAGTAAAAGACCATTGAGGTACAGAAATCATGGACCCACATTTAAGATGAGGCTATGTGATATATGTCAAACAGGGGACTTGCTTTAACAATTACTGTTATGATTATTATTAACGAGGCAATGCTTGTTTACAATCTAGCTCTTAACAATTAGTCATAGGTACTACATAAAATTTCTATTTATTGACATGCTATAAGAGCCTAGGTTTGTTCATAGAACTGAAAAAACACTGACATATATATTAAATATGTGGATTGTTTTATCTAAAACTATTAAGACATTTAATTTACTTTGCCCTGTAAAATGTCCCTATGTATTTCTCATGTGTATTGTATCTATTATATACTCTTTAGATTTTTTTTTTTTTGGTTTTTTTGAGACAGGGTTTCTCTGTGTAGCTTTGCGCCTTTCCTGGAGCTCACTTGGTAGCCCAGGCTGGCCTCGAACTCACTGAGATTCGCCTGCCTCTGCCTCCCGAGTGCTGGGATTAAAGGCGTGCGCCACCACCGCCCGGCATCGTAGATTTTAAATATAGCTATATACTCTGAAGTCATTATATACTATATGTACTTCAGGCAGCAGTCATATGATGACTGCTGTGGGTAATGCATAAGAACTAGTAGGAGAAAATTTAGAGATCCTTCTATGTGTGCAGAGAGGTGTCTGGACACACTGGGAATGGAGGACCTCTTCCCATCTCCACTTCATCCCTCCGCTATGTCCAGGATAACCTTTGTGCACGTTCAG